GTGATCTGGATTCCCCTCTCTTAACACATCATCCATACAGCGGGGTCCACTTTAGCTCACCACAAAGCATACTCATGAAGCACAATTACACACTTCACAATGCTGCACTCTCCTACTGGCGACATCTTGTTTCCCTATAAAAGCCAGTCTCTTCTCAGACTCCGTTTGTCTTTTGTTTTATTTTGTACTGTGACACTTTGCAGTTAAGATTTTTTGTTTTTGGTTCACACTCTGAGAACTGTGTTAGTGACTCCAGTATTCAGGTTCCTGGAGCCCAGCTCAGGACCCGGCATGTGACAAGTACTCAGTAGAGAGCAATTGGCTTGGTGCATAGCTGTCAATTCTCTGTACTTTGCTCTTTGGTGACTGTTTAGGCCTTGACACTTATAGAAAATTGCCCTCAAGACACCCAGTTTCACTTGCTGTCACCAAGTACTTCTGCTTCTTTGGCTATGTGTGCTCTTTGCCATTCCATTCTGGGCACTGGAAATCCCAAGGCCCTCAAGGCACAATGACTTAAAGGTCCTATTTAAACAGGCCTTCCCCTCGTACTTCCCCTAAGATGATATTTGGTGGAAAAGAACATTTTCCTTTTGCTTTGCTGAGCAAAACTTAACAGACAATGTTTTGGGGACAATGTCAAACTGAGTTTATATCAGGGCATACATGAAATACTCAACAATGCTACAGAACCCAGTGGACAGTTATGATGTGTTTCATCCCTAAGCCAGGCCTTCCAGAGAATCAAAGGTGAGCTAGCACTCCTCGAGAACTGAGCTTGTAGCTCAGCTCAACGTGTACAGTAGCTGCAACACGACACTTGCTCTCTGCTTCCATCCAGCACATATAAAGAGGTTTGTTGAGGGATATTTGGTCACACTGTGAACCCGGAAACTATGTTAATAAAATCAACCTTGGGTCAAGATGCAGAGTCAGCAACTAGCTGACATGAATTAGCCATACAGAGTATGACGGAGCCAGGAAAATGGATGGAGAGGTGCACAGGAAGCTGTAGGCAGTTTTGGTAGTCCCTTTGGTTTGGGACAGCTGGAGAGATGCTTTTTTGCTGGGTTGTCAGCCAAAGAGGAAGGTGAGTTGTTGCTTCCAGGTCTCTGTGAGCTAGCATGCTTTCACCCTAGTGTCTGACTCCCAAGTCTTTATTGGTAAATAGAATGATAGAGAGACTTAGAAACTACGTTCGGTGGCAGTGGCAGAACAGGTGTCAGTAGGACTGGAAGTCCCACCAGGCCACCTGAGCAGAGGGGCACCAACTGCGGGGACACAGACAGTAGCTACAATAGCAGTAGTTTGAGATACAGCTGCTAAGCCAACAGTAAAACAGCGGTTTCCTGACTATATCCTTGAAGATAACCTCTCCCCGGGCGTCCTATTCCTCGGCTCACTTCCCCCATCCTTTCTCCTTTTGTTTCCTTTTGCCTGTACATCCTTAGATAACATTCTACCCCACTAGCCAGGTCACATGACACTTCTCGGGTTTCTTAGGTATCAATCCACCTACTGAGTTGACAACTAGTTGGGTCTCTCCAGAACCATCTTGAGCCTTCTTCCTGAACATAAGAAGAAAATTAGGGGAACTCTTGCTTGCATTTGTGCTCCTAGGATACCCTGGAGTTTAGTTTCCTCAGTGAGAAATGCAACTCCTACCAGAAACCTTGTCACTCTGAGCCTCTAGTTGTTTTTATTTTTTTTAAACAAACCAAAACAAACAAACAGACCAAAACCAAAAAACCCCAAAATATCATCATCATCAACAATAACAAACCCTCAGGAAACTGGGGGATGGGTTCGTCTCCAATGACCCCACAGGACTGAAGGAGGTCATAGAAGACACACAGATGAAGGCTTGTACTTATTTTTATCTTTTGTGCTGCAACTGTGTTATTAGTGTGTCAGGTCCAAAAGAAGCCAGGGACAAGTGGCTAACTGTGGTACCTATTAGCATACCAAAGAATAAGCTGGCCGCCAGGCTCTCTCAGCATTGCAAGCTCCTCTCAGCTCTACTCACCCCACTCCTTACCCTAAACTCCAGCTCACAGGCTTCCCTTTCCCCAGCCTCTCACCCCTGTATAGTGCTGCCATTTGGGCACACACCCCAATTTGCTCTGCTGGTTCTCAGCCTCCGCTCTTGGCCCTCTCTCCTCTTCCTCTCTTGTTCCTCCTCTCCTCATGGCCCAGTTAAGTCTGCTGCTCATGTTTAGTCTACTATTTTCTCTCCCTGCTCTAGACTCTTCCAGATGCCTCTGGCTCTTTTCTCCCTTATGTCTACAATAAAAAAAACTTTCCCTCAACCATACCTTCGCATGGTCATGTCCTCATTTTATGTAAGTGAAGACTATCATTCTCGACCGAGAATTTGTCTTGGTGTGGGCTTCAGAATAGGGAAGTAGCTAAATTCAGAGGAGTGAAAGAGCCAAGCAGCCTGAGAACTTCCCCCATGTCAACCCCGAGGAAGCAGCAAAAAGCCCAGCAAAATTTCGGGTTCCTCCTTTGGGGAAAAGAGAAGTTGACCTCAATACTTTCTTTTGAAAGCTATTTACCTTGTCCTGCAGCTTGCATCATCCTGGATACTCATCAGCTGGGATGGGCTTGGAGTTCTGTTTTCTTGTTTCCTATCACAATTATTGCTTCTTCTTGATCAGAACAGAAAAGAGTCCCAACTGTTTTGAGTAATTTCAGAAGTCCTAGACATTAAGGAACAAATATCAGTCAGCCCTATTGGGTCCTGACAAATGTCAGGTCATGAGAAACATACATACATACATACATACATACATACCAAAAGACAGACAGACAGACAGACAGACAGACAGACACACACACACACACACACACACACACACTGTGGCTTATTATAAGCATAGACAATTGGACGTAGGAGTACTTTTGTAAGTGCAAAGAAAATACACAAGGGTGTGCACACTAATAATCAAAACATTGACAGTAAAAACTGTACTAAAGGATGAAGTTCTTAATTCATTATTAACATGACACATATTCTTCTTGTTCTCATGGCAGTCACTAGTAGTTCATTCAGTCCTAGCTGGGCTGTCAAGCTTCTTCAAAAGAAGCTTCTGGATAAAATAAGCATGAAGAAAGGCTTAGTCAGATCATAGATGTGTTTCTTTCATATTTTTTGTCACTGGGAGTTGAACTCAGGCAAGCAAGCTAGCCAGCTGCTCTGCCACTATGATAAATCCCAGGCCCTAAGCCAAAGGACTTTTTAAATGTGGAAATATTCACAAATCTTTTTTCATCATCTATCTCCCCAGTCAGTCTTCCTTCCCCACTTAATTCATATTGGATAAAATTCAGATCTTCAGAATTATTGCACGACCTCAGACTACAACTGACTTAGTTTTTTGGGAAGTATCTCTATATTTGAACCCCCTAGAGTGACCTCTTCTAATCATTCCATTCAACAGATCCTTGGGTTATGTATGGTATGCTATGTTTATCCTGAACTGAAAATTATTTGTAGGCTGGAAGGATTCTTTAAAATCTAGTACATAACAGTCCTGGTACATTGTTCCTTAGTCTACATCTATGAAGTAATATAATAAACGTATGGTTTTCAGTTTCCACTACTGGCTGGCTTTTCAGTTTGAATCTATTAGACAAGCATGCTGATGGAGGTTGTCCTTCTGTATATATATTTCTCTTATTGGTTGATGAATAAAACACTGATTGGCTAGGTGGGGCTGGGAGATGAGGAAAATTCTGGGAGAGGTAGGTAGAGAGGCCAGAAGGAGTTGCCATGGAGTGGAGGAAGGAGTAACAGGTCCAGTCATTCTCTGGTAGGCTAAGACCACGTGGAAATACATAGATTTATAGAAATGGGTTAATAATTAAGACAGAGCTAACTAATAAGAAGCCCTAGCCATCAGCCAACAGTTTAATAATTAATATAAGTCTTTGTGTACTTATTTGGGGTTGAAGCAGCTGTGGGATCTGGCGGGACAAGAAAGAAAGAAAAAAAGAAGCAACTCATGGCTCCTCATCTCCATGCATTCATCAGCTGCCTTTACTGCTATACACTTTGGTTGAGAGACTAAAGTCCAACCCAAAGTACAGCTTTGCTTTAGCCACTGATTTCACTATGTCCACCAAGCTTCTCCCAGAATTGCTACCAAAGCTCAACAAAATGAGAGATTTGCTCTTAACTTCAAATTGTGGACATCTGACGTTCTGTGCTCACTGGGTCAGGAGATGACTGAGCAGCGCAATCATCACTAGTTCATATAAGGATGAAGCTCAGCGCCACGAAGCACCTACATCTCAGCAGGCATGGTGACAGGCACAAGGTGATCTCCTTTAGTTTCACCTCAACCCTCTAAAGTCAGTCTAGATGGCTTCCTTTTACAAAGTTCAGGCCATATCACAGTAAACAGGAAGGAGACTTGTCTACAACCGAGACCAGGCATTGTGACTCTAAGGCCATTGCTCCTTCCAAATTCTCCCATGATTTCTGACCCAGATACAGGATAATATATCAATGATTAGGAATATGTATTAGGGATGAAAAAAGGTGGTTCAGAAGTTAAGAGCACTTGCTGCTGTTTCAGGGGACCCCAGGTTCAGATCCCAGCACCCATAGCAGATTGCCTGTAACTCCACCTCTAAGGGGTCCAACACCCTCTTCTGGCCTCCACTGGCACTACGTGCAGGTGCTGTACATACATACACTCAGACACAGGCACAGAACAAAAATAAATACATATTTGAAAAAGAGTATGTACTAAGTTGGGCTTAGAGCCAGATTGTTTCCTATCACAAATTACAAAAAGAGAGGAGCTGACTTTTTCTTCTCTCAACCTAACATCTATCTCTCAAGTGTAGTATGGTCAGAGCGACTCTGAATGGGCCTCTAGCTCCCAGGAACTTACAGGGATCTGATTTCTCCACATCCTCTCATTAAAGATGCTTAAACTGAATCATAAGAGGAAGAGGAAGTGGTGTTGCTGTGAAACATTTTCCTCCTTCACAGTTCAAACTTTTGCTTTCACACATAGCCCACACAGTGAGCTACGTAAAGAGAAATTCCAGCAGCCTCCAGACATGATTACCTCATTTGCTGCCAAACCCTATCTTTGGCTTAGTTGCCTCTTTGGCCTCCAGGTGGACAGCTCCAGTCTCTCTGCCAAGGACGATGACTGACTGTGAGTTCAAGTACATTCACTCTCTGGCTGAGGACTATCTTCAGTATGTCCTGCAGGTACCTGCTTTTGAATCGGTGCCAAGCAAAACATCCAGGGTGCTACAAAGAGTTGCTTTCTCGGTTCAAAAAGAAGTCGAAAAGAATCTGAAACTATACTTGGATGATTTTGATGTGGGATCCATAGATACCGCCAGAACAATATTCAATCAAGTGATGGAAAAAGAATTTGAAGATGGCGTCATTAACTGGGGAAGGATTGTGACTATATTTGCCTTTGGGGGTGTTCTCCTGAAAAAACTTCTACAAGAGCAGATTGGTTTGGATGTGGGCGCTTACAAGCAAGTCTCCAGTTTTGTGGCTGAATTCGTAATGGATAACACAGCAGAGTGGATACGTCAGAACGGAGGCTGGGTATGTACAATAGCATTCGTTTTAAGTTTCTCTACTATAAAATTGGAATGGAGAGTGTCCTTACTAATACAAAAAGGTTTCAGTCTGTTTGTTTATCATATTTTAGATGCTTTTAATTGAAAGTAAGCCAAGCAGAGATATCCTGGGTCATTTCCAGTGGACTCTGCAACTTTTTAGTTGGCAAAAATTTGTGAACTACAGTCATGAGATCTGGGGCTGAGAGCAGCAGCTTTTGACTACATCTTCGGAATTGGCAATGCAGACCTGCAAGAATCTGCCTTTTGCTCAATACAGTGGAGAATTAGTATAGAAAGAGCTGTTATTAGATCTTGTCATTTGAATTTAGTTGTGTTGTTGCAGTCAGCTGCACAGTTTTGTACATTTATTACTTACACTTTGACTTTTTCCATTTTGTATTATACAAATTATGGGTTACTAAAGTTTTGTGTTAAAAACAATGTACTGCCTCACTGGAAGGAACCCTTTAAAAGCATATTCAAAAATAAAAATTTGCTTTTTTTGGTTTGTTTAACACTATCTCAAAAAGTCAGGACTGTATGGAGAGTGTTTGGAGATCAGGTTATCCGGAAGCCTTTCCCAGCTAGATTTAGATGCTTCATTTTGTGGCCCAATATGCTTAATACTGAGTCGAAAAACATTTCTATCCCCATGTGGTCTCTCTCCCATCCTCAGCTTTTATCTCTCTCAAGCAATGTCCACTGTTACTATTGTATATGCAAAACATGTTTATTGAACACACCCAAAGGGAATACTTAGATCACCTCCCACCTGCATTTAGAGCAGAGATCTCACCATGCTGCCCAGGCTGGCCTCCAACTCCCAGAGTACAGCCATCCCAGCACCCTCAGCCTGCCATGCCTCTGGGACTCTGCATGCACATCATCATGCTTAGCTAGCAAGCACCTCTTCCCCCATCAGACCTTTGTCACCAGGAACCAAACCTAGAGCTAAGCACAATCTGAATGCATGCTCAATCGCTGCACTGTACCCTCAGCCTGAAGTCAGTCTTCCTGAAAAATATTTTATAAATTAGTATCTGGGCTAGAAATGACAGTGCACATCTGTAATCACAGAACTTAGGAACAAAAGATAAGAGGACCAAAAGCTCAGGGTCCTCTGCCTACATACAAGCCAGTAGGAGGCCAGATCTGGTCATATGAAGGCCTGCTTAATCCCCCCACCCAAATAGTACAGGAACTTATTCTGTAACTGTTTTTTTTGTTTGTTTTTTTAAACCCAGGGTTCTTAAAATAGCATTTTAAAAGAATACTGTAGGGACTCGGGAAGTAGATCAGTTGTGGAACTCCTGTGTTGCATGAACAAGGCTCCTAATTAAATCCCTAGCACTATAAGTAAATGAAAATTAAAAGAGTTCTTAATCTGTTCTGCTGAGTAGACATGCTGCCAAAGAGTTGGTTACTTTTGGCTGGTGTTTATTTGGGTTATTTCGAGAGTTTTCCATCACAAGAAATGTTTCTTTGAATTTATCAGCATATATTATTTCCTGTGTATAGGTGTTTTCTAGGGTGGATATTTAATCATAGAGTTATTCACTCATGGTGTGTATCCATTTTGAAATCACTAGACTTTTCTGCTCCATAGTGATGGTATCAAATTATAATCCTGTCAGCAGCATGTTAGAATACTCAATGTTTCCTGGGTACAATGAGGTATTAGCAACCTATTCTAATTTCTCCACTTTGTTACACTAAATGCATACACTTATCTTAAGTTAAATCATTTCCCCCTTGGTTACTAGTACAGTTAAAGTTCTCTTCAGGCTGAGCTCACGTTCATGTTCATTGACTAATTCTTACTGAAAGAATTATTTTTTTTGCCTAGTTTCCAATTGTTTTATTAACAAAGGAATTATTTGAATAACCTGAATGGTAATTATTTTTCTGTGTGACATATTTATTTTAGTATATTTATTATCCTCTAAAACTGTAGATGTATTCAATAATTACATGCGTTTAAAAATTTGGTGCAATTGACTTTATTGAATGCAGACTTTGTTCTATTTCTATTCTGTTGAAAGTCTGATTGCTCAGTGCTTTGTCTTACTGTGAAGTAGTCTTCATTTTCAGTTGCTTTCAACTACCTGTAACTCTTCTTTTTAAGTTGGCTTGATTCAGGTCTAGGTGAAGCATGTCAAATGTTTGGTTTCATTTGGGTCTAGGTCAAACATGTCAAATGTTTGGGCATGTTTCTTCTGGTTGGCTGTGGGAAGGACTCAGGACACTCTCCTCTGGGCTGTATATACCTTAAGTGAAGGAAAGTGTCTTCTATTGCAGAGGCCACAAATGAGCCTGCAGAGGATAGTCTTACAAGCTCTATAGATTTACTCTATGTGCCCAATGTCTATCACAGTTTGTGGAAGACACAGATACACGTTACTTAAAAATGTAACTTCTCCATAACATTATATGAATTCTTAGAATTCAAAATGAATGACGAATATGGAATGGTCTCTTAGAATTTCTAGAAATACATGTTAGAAGGACTCTTTAAGATCATTTAAAGCAATCTCAATACTGTATTCCAGCCAACAGAAATCAATTATTCTGATAATGGCAAATAGTGCTATAGTGATCCAAGTATACACAGGCATAGCAAACTGATAGCCTTTTTCTCTCACAGTGCTATTGACAAACCTGTTTCAATGAATGAATTTACTTTGAATGATTCCTTTTGTAGAAAATGCACTTGTTTATGTTAGCAGCCAGAGGTCCCAGTAGGAAGGGGAAATGGTTATTTTATAATTTTCCCCTTTTTATTTTTTGAAAGAGTAACCTCTAAACTCATCATAAAACATGCAACCTATGATCTTGTTACATCTGAAATATGCCTGAAACTTTATGAGAAGTTTTGAACCAAGATATGATACAGAAATACAACATAGGTATTAGGAGCACCAACTCCAGTTCAAACAGGGCTGGGTTTATTTCAGGACTCAGTGCTCACCATCTATGTGACCAGAACAACTTACATAATGTCTCTATACCTTGTTAATCTTGTCTCTAAAACTAGGCCACATTGCAGCCTATCTGCTGGGTCTGGTATAAGGCTCATGAGTTATTTACACAGAAAGCATCCATAGTAACTTCTACAAATGAGCACTCAGTACAATTTTAAGACTATTACTTATCACTAATAAACACTAATATTAACACTAATAATAGTAATATTGCATAATTTCCACTTAGCAAGTCTAAATATATTTAGACTTCGAACACTGTATGGTCCATTTCTGTTAGATATTAATCACTGTGGACCTCAGGTGAAATAAAGGGAAAAACGTAAGAGCAATGCATTAGTAATGGGATGCACAATCTCATTCCTTTTTTTAAAAAGTCAGTTTGACTCTTTTTTCCTTCCCTCCCCATCCATTTCCTCCTCATTCTTCCGTCCCTTCCCTTTTCTCCTTCTCGTCTTTCCTCTGTCCCCATTCCCTTTGGTTTCCCTTGTCATCTCTGATTTTCTTCATCTTCTACATTTACTATTATTTTCTACAGTTCACTTTGCCAGTTTCAAGTGCATAGTTGAACTTATAATGCCTGGTAGAAGATCTAATGTGATTTTCTATTAGCGATCATGACTATTTGGGAGGAAAACATAGTTCCTAAAGCCACTAGAATACATTTCAGTAGGTGGTGTCTATAGCTTCAGCTACACACAGGCAAAGGTTTGAGGAACATTGCTTGAGCACAAGAGAAGTTCAAGACCTTTTTTTGAAAAACAAGAAAACATGCTTAAGATGAAACTCAATGTCTCACCCCTTGGAAATCATACTTTTGTTTGACTAAGGTGACTTTCCTAGTTCCTTGCTCTTTAATGAGCACTTTTCCACGTCCAGGCTTATAGAATAAAAAATACTCGGTCATCAGCCCCACAGAGAGGGACTATATCTACTACATGCATCACTGTGTTTCTCACGCTTAGCATAGGGCGTATCGAGCAGAAGGTACCTGACACGTAGCTAGCTATGGATCTCAGGAACTTACACTGAAATCTGAGGCTTGAACTTGGACTTTTCCTGTTTATTAGAGGCATTAAGTTAAGTTACCTAGGAAGGACTCCAGGATTCAGGTTTCCTAAGTAATACATATAATAACATAATATAACATAATGTAATAATAACCACATTATATAACATAATGTCTATAATGTAATAATAATAATATAGCATAAATATAATAAAATGATAACAATAATACCTATAGGCAAAGACCCAGAAAGCTTTCTTGTAAAAAGTACTTTGTGAATATGTAAATAAAATTATGCAAGTATGGGGTTTACATGGGAAATTCCAAGCAATTTAAATATGTAATTTTAAAAACTACTTTAAATTAAAAAAAAAATTCTTTTAGAAGTTGGTATACACCAAACTGGCCCCTTCCAAGTAACCAGAATAGTAAGCTTTAAACTAAGTAAGAGTAACTTACTATTAAGTAACTCTTAATAGTAAAAGTTAAGCTAAAAAGCCCTCTCCTCTTTTACTCGTCTTCCTCCTCTCCTCCCTTCCTTCCTCTTGCTCTAATGGTGTGGTTAGTTTGGTAGCAGAGTGAAGGGGAAGAGTGGACACACAGAGACGTATAGATGACTGATTAACCATTCATCTCAGTAAAGGCATTTCCAAAGGTATAAACAACCAAGCCCTCTGCATGCTAAGTACACACTCCAACACTGAGCTATAACCCCAGACCACCAAAACAGGTCTTGAATGAATAACTGAACAAATAATCTCTAGAGGAGTGGCTGTGGTATCCACATATATCTTTAAAATAATTCATAGGTATTAATTTTCTTTGGATTATTGGTACAGTATGTGTCAGTCTGCTTTGTAATGCTATAATAAACATCACACAATAAATGATGATAAAAGGAAGTTGTTTAGGGGGTTTGAGAGTGCCAGCATCCAAAGGTACCAGAACTGAAGGGCACCAGCATTGAAGGGCTGCATCTGGTAAGAGCCTTTTTACTGCATGAAGTTAGGAAGGAAGGCAGGGATGGAGAGATGGAATGGAGGTGGGAGGAAAGATGACTAGAGGGCTGAAGACATCTTTTAATAACAAATCCACTCCTTGGATAATGGGGGAGGGGTGCCCCCATAACCAAACCATCCCTTAAAGATTCCAACTCTTAATATTATCAAAATAACAATTAAGACTCGACATGAGCTTTGGAAGGCATAAACAAACCATGGCAGCTTGGTGTATCATTTTATGCTTTAGGCTTTCTCAAAGCCAGAGTAGCCTAATTTAGCAAATTTTACTACTTCGAGAAATAATCAGACCTGGGCATTTTTTGTGTATTACTACATTACCAATGTGATAATGAATCCTTATTTGTATTTTTACTTTTATATAATGGCCTTAAGATTCAAACTGCATCAATAAAGGAAATAGTTTTAAAAGAATCTGGAAAAATATTTTTATAGGCATAAAAAGTATGATTTTATTGAAATGTAAAATTCTTTAATTGCTGTTAACTTAAAAGCATTTCTCTATATATTATTAGTAATTTAAGTTTCAATGAAGTTTTCTTTTTAAGTATTAAGGCCTGATTGTTTTTCTCTTAAATTTGGGTGAACTTTTTCATAAGTATATTTCCTTGTTTGCAGTTCTTTTAATTTCAGTTTTTTTATAGATTTATGACTTTTATATTATCTTCATTTAGCTTTTTCTTTTACTTTCTTTACCATAGAATTTCAAAATATGTAACAAGTTAGCATGTTAACTGCCCAGAAATGATCAGTTTTCCTGTTAAAAAAATCATTTTAGAGGTTACTAACCATGCCTGTCTGTTATAAGCTTATGACTGTTCTTGGAAGCAGAACAAGAAACATGTAAATACCAAGACTGGGAAGTAGTTGCAAATGTAATGTTAGGAGAAGGGGAAACAGAGAAATGAGCAATGTCTTTTTATGTTTGAGCATGACATTATGTGCCTCACAGCTGACTCTGCATACCACATGCAGACATGTTCTCCTCACTAGTGGCTTCTTGGTTTGCTGATGACCCCACAACTATTAATTTTAAGATCTTCAGAGATTTCCAGAGTCCTCTGATTCTTAAGAAGCTACATTTGATTCACTTTTTTTCTTGATTAATCCTATTATGACATAAACATTTGGAGACATTGTAAGACTGGAGCTTACAAGATGCAGAGCAAATGTTTACTAGATGAACATTAAAAAAAAAATATCAGGGGTGGTGGTACAACAGACAGTATGCAAGCACAGCCTGGGGATATAGACCAGTTGGCAGGGTGCTTGCTTAGCATTCATAAGGTCCTGAGTTCTATCCTGAGCCCTGCCTGAACCAGGCATGATGGGGTATGGCTATAACCCCAGAGCTAGGAGATAGAGACAGAAGATTCAAAAGTTCAAGGGCATCTCTGGCTACTAGAACATAAAATGAGTATGAATGAACACAAAAAATAAATAATAATAAATAAACATTTTAACAATTTTATAATCTTCTTCTGCTTGCTTCGAAATGTATGGAGTGAAATGAAAGGGAGTGTAATGCTTGTAGCCCAACCCAAACCCAGGCAAAGAATTAGCTGCTCTTAGCAGCTACTGCATGCCACCTGACTTCTTACCTGCCTGCTTGCCACCATGCTTCCTGTCATGATGATAATGGACTAAGCCTCTAAAATTGTAAAGTAAGAGCTACACTGGTCATGATGTCTCTTCACAGCAACAGAAGATCGACAAAGGGACTTCTTAATATATGGGGGAGAGAGAGAAAGAGAGAGAGAGAGAGAGAGAGAGAGAGAAAGAGAGAGAGAAAGAGAGAGAGAGAGAAAGAGAGAGAGAGAGGACTCTTGAAACTAACATATGTACCTCAGACGGTATTTCTGTAGAGAACAAACTGAGAGTAGAGAGAAGATTATCCCACTGATTACTGATTCTTAAATCTTCACTTTGTTCTCATAGGAAGATGGATTCATGAAGAAGTTTGAACCTAAATCTGGCTGGCTGACTTTTCTGGAAACAATAGGGCAGATCTGGGAAATGCTCTTTTCTTCTCAAGCAACACTACTGACCAGAGAGGACCCTGGCTCCTGCGACAATGGTGACCATCACTTAGTACTTCCATTTGCAAACAGTTCAGCTGATAGGACTTGACTTTCCAGAGTGCAGATGTTTTGTTCCTACTTTAATAAATAAACTACAGATATTTGTTTCTGTATGAGTTTTATGCTTTGACTTTGCCTTGAACTTCAATAATACTCAACATAGGGACAGTGCCTGTGGCCATGCCAGTGAGTAGCAATTGAAGTTCCAGGTGTCAGCCCATCAGAAGGAAATCTCCTGAGGGGTCAATCTTGTTTAGGCAAGGCCATGGGACTGCAGACCCTGGAATGTCTTTCGCTTCTGCGCACCTTTATGAGTTTGCTGCAGCTCTTTCTCTGGTATCTAGTATGGTGTGAGTGGATGTGGGGAGGTCTCCACTGCCTGTAAAATAGTGTGCTTATTTCTTGGAAACGTCACATTCTACTGGGCATTTTTACCTGTGGATTCTCAAGAAGATGACACCTCCCTAAGCTGTACTGTCTAATTTGATAATAATGGAAGTTTATACAGAATTTTGGTGAATAAAAATAAATGCAAGGCTATGTTTCACAGCCAAAGTCCAAGTTTCACCTAAGGAGCTGCATGGATTGTAGCTCAGGTTAAGGATTAACAATTGAGCCCAGCTAGTTGGAGGAAATATATCAGTTGGGGTGGGCTTTGAGGTTTCAAAAGCCTATGCCAACCCCACAATCTCAATGTCTCTCTGCTTGTGGATTGGATAGAAAAGTTTATCCATTGATTCCTGTGTATTTCTGTCAAAGCCCTGTGCTGCCCCTCACCCCCACCAGAAAGCAGCAGGACAGGCATTGAAGTAAGGACTGATGATGACCTGGAGGGTACTTTTCTTCCTCTACCATAAGGTAGAAACTCATCCATAAGGGTGTGCCTGTTATCCAAAGTTATGCTATATCATTAGGCTAAACCATATGGGGGTTAAAAGCTGCTTCCTAACTCTTCCCTGGATTCACACTTTCTCTGTCCTCAGAGTCCCTGGCTACTTTCAGCTCCTCATTGATTTCTCTCTCCTCAACTGTTACTCTCTGGCCTTTCATTTGGGCTTCATGGATAGGACAGTCAGATATGCAGTATTGGGGTCAGAAACAATATTCAAAAAGGAGGCCTCAACTCATTCTTCTGTCTGACCTCTTCTTGCCTTCTCTTCTCTCAGTCCACCCACACTGTTTTCTCCCAAAGCAAGGCACAAAATGTAGAATTCACTTTCCCTACGTCAAGTCATAATAGTAGTCAGACTATATATGGTCAGTCTACCATATATAGAAGAGGGATCACTTCTCTTTCTGCTCCTATGGCAAGAAACTGGAGTACTTTGAACAAAAACAGTTAAATGAATATCAAGCCATTTTTAAACTTGATTTTTGTTTGTGTGTGTAAAAAACTGTTAGGCCATGTTTCAATTTTTAGCTCAAATTTGATGGCAATATAGAAATCCTCTATTTTGGTCTAGACCACTTGCATTACAGTTCCCTTGACTCTAGTAATAGATCTAATAAAGACAGAGCCCCTTTCCCCAAGACCAGGCACACGCTTATGAGGGATCTCAGTTGTCAATACTACCTCTGTGGTATGATTCCTAACTGAGGAAATGAAGACACTAAGGCCCTTAACACCAGATCCTTTTGTTTTGATATTCCGAGGGCTAGGATTACAGATATGGTTATCACTACATTCAGTCTGTGTGGTGTGGTGCTGGAGGTCTTACCCCCAGGTTGTGTGCATGAAGGTAAGCACTCTAGCAATGGCACTTCATTCTAAACATCATGGTCTTTTATTTCATTACCACCTTTAAACTGAAGGAGCAAAAAGGAATAAGCAAGAAGATCAGGTAGGAAGCTACTTAAATCCTATTGAGGTGAGTCAGAACAAGATGCCATCTTTGAGCGCTGCTGCCCACAGTGATGCACTTTTTAGAAATGTTCCAAAGCACCTCAAAACAGTGCCACCAGATGGAGAGTAAGTGTTCAGACTCATGAGACTGTGGGTGGGGGAATTTCACATTCAAACAATGAAACTGCGTTGGTTTTAAGACACAGTCTCCCTGTGCAGCTTAGGATGACCCTGACACCACAATCCTTCTGTCTCAGACTTCCAATGCTGAGACTAGAGGTTATGTGCCACCACTTTCAAGATATACTATGAGAGGTTGCTTTGGTTTTGTTTTATTTTGTGTCAGGGTCTTCCTACATATCTGTATAACTCAGAATGGCTTAGAACCTTCAAGGTTCAGACATTAGCCTGTAAGACCTTTAACGACCTGTTTTCTACACAAACACTTGATCTCTTATTTTGCTTCAATTACCTTAATGTCTAGTACAACGTCTTCCCCTAGTATCTGACACCTTTATGTTATTGAGTCTTTCTGTGATTTTGATTTCTGCTGGAAATAATGGCTCCAGAGGGTTGAAAACATTAGGAATATCAGTGATTCTGTCCTGGAGCCTTACCTGTGAGAGGACACACAGAGATCTCGGAAGACTCACAACCCTAAAGAGATTTACACCTAAGGTAGAATGCATGAATTCACAGGTGTGAATGTATCCTTGATGGAATGTACACATGGAACTAAAGTATTTTTCCCCAAGACTGGGATTAAGTAAAGAAAATGCTTTCTTCCATGCAGCAGTGGTGATCAAACCAGGAGCCTTGTGCATGCTAGGCAGGCCCGACACCCCTCAGTAATGCTGTCAGACTACCTATTTAGTGCTGAGAAGAAACCACATAGAATAGCCATGGGTATCCAGAAAAAGCCTGCCTCTAGAATTCAACAGCAATGACTTATCAACAGTAACATGTACAATGAACTTTTGTGTGTGTCTGGTATAAGTGATAAAACCTAGGACTTCATGCATGCTAAGTCTTACATCTCTTCCTGAAGATGAATACGTGCTGCATATAGTGATTTATGGTAGCAATTCTCAAACCTTAATATGGATAGAAATCACCAGAGGACCATTTGGACTCCCAGTATGGCTCAGGATTCTCCATACTTAATATGCTTTCAGGGGACACTGATCCATAGAGTACATCCATGGTCAAGTACTGGTAAATGAATATTTCGTGGCCACACTAACCTGAATTGTTAGGTCTGTAAGCATAAATGTGAGATCAGAAATGTAAGTGAATTCAGTGCTTGTCTTACTCTCTGTGATAAGAATTCTGTTCATCTTTGTTCTCCCTCTCCCACCTTCCTTTGTCTTCAGGCACTTAGATCTTGCAGAAATGAACTGTAGACCCTTTGACATGGCTGCTGGAGATCTGAACTTGGCTCCTCGTGTTTGTGTAGCCAGCATTTTACCAAATAAATCATCTCCCCAGGCTCTGAAAATTTAACTTAAAAAATCAGTCCTCGGCTACTGAGTGGTAACATGGGGGGTGGTGATATATGATATATATATTTTTAAAAGTCAGTCCTCAGTATCTACTTACTTTATTCTTTGCTCCCCACTTAGTCAAACGTCCTGTTAGAGAAAAGCATTATCTGTCTCTGAACAGCAGGTTCCATCAGCAGCAAAGGCAGCTAAATAAACTCTCCAATAGTAATGAACAGTGACTGGATCCTGAGTTCTCCAAAGATGGGACATCCATCTCCAGAAAGGGCCTGCCATTTGTTGTAACAGGAGCCCTACAAGTTTATCAGTAATGAGACAACTGACTGAAAAAGGGGGAGGAAGGCACTTTCTGGTAAAGCAGAACGTTTTATCCGTTGACCAGGAGGAGCCAAGTGTCCACCGGCAATGATATACGTGCATCTGGTCTGCTTTGCCCTTCTGAGGCCTCTTAAATCCTGTACTCCACAACGCTAAGGGTAGACGAGTCCGCGAGTATAGTTGGCAGCCTTTGTTAGACCCTCTGCAGAAGCCTGGAAGCCTTTGTAGGCTGTGAGGGAGGGTTAAACGTACTGGGCTACGTGCACAATCCCCAGCTATCAAGCCTGAACGGCCAAGGACAGCACAGCACACTGTCTTTCGCTGCTACAAGATGGGGGCCGGCTCGGACGCCGAAGTGGCCTGTGCGCCCCAGCTGGTCCACAGAGGCCACGCCCCCAGCAGCCGAGGCGATGGGCGTGGCCGGGCGGTGTTTGCCACGTGATGGCGGCGGCCGCAGCAAGCAGCGCCAAGCGGAGCCTGCGGGCCGAGCTGAAGCAGCGTTTGCGGGGCTTAAGCGCGGAGGAACGGCTGCGCCAGTCTCACCTCCTCACGCAGAAGGTGCGAGAAAGGTGCCTGGAGTTAAACGCCTGGAAGCTTGGGCTGTGCTCGCGTGTCTGCGCAGGCGCACCTCTGCCGCTTGCGTGCGCGTCCCCTTGGGCTTGCGGCGGGCTAAGTGGGTAGCTCGGAGCTTCCCAGGGAAGATGGGCTGGGGCACGTTTGTTCATTCAAAACCGAGTTATTTTGTTATTGGGAGGGAAGACATTGCTGCGAGCTTTAGTAGATGTAGAGAATGTCGAGCCATGCCCGCACTTCCGGTTTAAATTAATCCATTCACATGTGTTTAACACCTAGTAGTAAGCCATTTTTCTGTGTATTGGGTTATAGAGATGAAAAAGATGATTGTTGCCGCTAAAGGATCAAATGATCTAGCGGATGAAGAATTTAGGGCTGGGGATATGGCTCAGTGACACAACTGTTCAAAAATGTGGTATATTTTATTTGTCCGTACTTAGAGCAGACCTTGAATTTAGGTCTGTTTTTCTACTTTTAAATTGCGTCTTCCGTTATTTTTGACAAATCTAGAATCTGAGTTTATGGGTAGATTAATTCTCACGTTGTGAGTTAGCTGCAGCCGCACAGTCACCCCTTGGGTCTCTGCTTCTGAGTTAGGGTTGTTTATCTGGAACTTGTTGCCCTTCTTAGGTACTTTTTCTTCTCAACGTTTTTAGAGTATATCCTCAAATTTTTTAAAAGGAAAGCACCTATGCGATTGTCAACCTTTATTTATTTTTAGCTCATATGTATGAATGTTTGCCTGCATCTATGTATGTAAGTACAGTGTGTGTGTGTGTGTGTGTGTGTATGCACACATGCGTGCCCCTGTTGCCTTTAGAGATCAGAAGTGGGTGCCAGATCCCTTGGAACTAGAGTTAAGGATGGTTGTAAGCCCCTATGTAGGTGCTAGAAATTGAACCTAGGTTGTCTGCAAGAACATTAAGTGCTCTTAAACTGCTGAACCATCTCTCTAGACCTGACTTTTTAACATATGTTAAAATATTTTCAACTCCCATTTGACCAATCAGTTCATTTCAAGTATTTAATTACTTTTGTTCTCATTCTGTTTAATACCTATGACTTAAAATGGAGACAGTGAGTTTTAAAATTTTTTTACTTTTGTATTATATCTTGTGGCTTAGTCGCTGTTCTATTGCTATAAAGAGACACCATAACCAAGGACACTTATAAAAAGAAACATTTCATTTGGGGCTGGCTTACGGTTTCAGAGGGCTAGTCTGTAGTCATCATGGTGGGAAGCATGGAGCCAGTCAGGCAGGCATGGTGCTGGAGAAGTAGCTGATCGCTCACTTCTTATCCAGAAGATGGAGGGAGGGAAGGAGGGATGGAGAGAGAGACAGAGACATAGAGAAAGACTGAGTCTGCCATGGGCTGTGGGATTTTGAAGCTTCAAAGCCCACTCAGGGATTTTTGTGATCGTAGGGGCCTGCAGAGTATCAGTGTGAAACAAGAAGGAAGTCCAGCTCAACATGACTCTGGGCCTGGTGTTGGTTCAAACTTCCAGAGTCTGATACAGAACAGATTATTTTAGACATATTTAAGCACAGCACATTTTGTGAAAAAAATTTCCTGGTGATAATTAATTCATTTCTGTATGTACAACAAAACTTAAGACATGGTTACATTGGAACTCTTTCCAAAGTACATGTGTCCTCTCCCATAACGATGGATTTTATAGATTGACTATATGTTAAAGGCCTGGGGGAAGATCTGGTGTGGTGTTGGTCATACAGTTAGTGCAAAGGTCACCAGGCCATTAACCAAATCCATCCCCAGCCTTCTGGGCAGAAAACAGATGATGCATCTCTTCCCTTGAAGAGACAACCCTTAGTGTTTAGCATCCCGGGCTCCCCTAGTGCTTATCTGTGAGCTGAAGGACTCTGTCTTCTCTAGCCCACTCTGATGACACACCCTCTAACCCTTCCTAAATAGTTCATCATCTGAGAACAACACATTCAAATGTTCTTATTCACACCACCACATCTAGATTACCAGTTTTCCTTTGGGTCTTTCAGAGATTCTTGTTAAATTAGACAGTCAAAAGTCTAGCTTGATCTTCTGTGTCTCTTAACATTTTCCCCCCAATTTTCTCCCCACTCAGTATTTCTCCTAGATTGTTTTCATTTTGCTAACCCTGGATTTAATTTCCAGTATTTCTTATGTCTCTTACTGCATCCTTTCCATAGCAGTCTATTGATGTTTAATCGATTTGGTTGTTTTCAGTTTGTCTGAGAAAACTAGAGCTTAAAAATAATCTTCAGTCTTTGTGTTATCTGTTTTGCACTGAATTGTTTTTTTCCTCCCATTTGTCATTTTAAAAATCTGTTTTGTACTTTCGCTTTTCAAAATGGTTGAAAAGAATTGATTGGTTATGCATATATGTGTCCTTTGGGGATATCGGACATCACCTGAGGACCTTGTATGTGGTAGTGAAGGCTTTTACCACTGAATAAAATCCCTGGCCCTTCTTGTCTTTACATATTTATTAATGAAAGTGTGTTAGCTACAAGATTCCCTCTGTTTTTGTAGACAGTGGTTGGAGTTCTAAGAGGAGAATGGGTTCTGTCTACCTCCTGTGTCCATGTTTTTGTGCTGCTTTCTCTATAAATACTGTCTCCCCCTCCCTCTGTCTTATAGGACTTAGTCAAATTTCTGCTTGTCTTCATTATTATGAGGGTTTCTTTTTTTTTTTTTTCCTCCCTTCCTAACAAATAGCATGTAAATGGGCTGGAAGGCAGGCAGACAAATGCATATACATAGCCTCACACTGAATGTGTGCCTTATTGCTTATTCAGCTCTTGGTTTTCTATACTCTGCTTTAAAGAGATTAAGAAAAATATTCTCATATAGTAAGTGCTGTTTAAGCCTTAGGCCTGCTCTCCAAATCTAGGTTTGCTTTGCTTATGCCAAGCCTCCTAACAGCTTTACGGCTTTTCTAGAAACCAGGGGTTGACTTTCTTCCTTAGCCCGGGTTTGATAAGCTTTGCTTAGGTTCTCTCTTCCCTTTGTATTAAATGTAACTCTGCTTTCTTTACCTGTATCTTTTCTGCCAATCATATTTGTAAGCTGCTTTTGTATTATCCTTTTCTTCTTAGTTTGGCGGACAGGGGAGAACAGAAAAAGAATGGAGAGAGAGAGAGAGAGAGAGAGAGAGAGAGAGAGAGAGAGAGAGAGAAAAGAAAAAGGGAGTTAAGGGCCAACTTCTGAATCTGAGTAAGTTCCTAGGGTTATGAACAAAACTTAGCCCTTTGCCTGCTGAGTTCCATTAAATTTGGATTCTTATATCAGGAGCTCTTTGGCCCCATTTCAATGAACTTTGGGAACACTCAGTTGAATGGAATAATGTTGGTAGAGCTAAGAGATGGTTACAGGGCATGTTCTCTGTGGGAGCTTGTGGACTGATTCAGAATCTTCATTTAGGACACATAAACAGTGATTGGCTCTTGGCTTCCCTCATATAGACTGAAGTGCTGAGTTGTGTCTCACTTGAAATGTAGTAAAGGTTCTGCAGATATCAGTAAGGTTAGGTTGGCCTTAACTAGGTAAAATTGATAGGAGAAATACCCAACAATCCAAGGAATGGAAAATTGGTGGGATCCAAATTTCCAAGAGAAATCAAAAATCCTCACATAAGTTTCTGATGTATATTGGAAACTGGGACCACATCTGGAATTCTGAAGATAGACAGCTTTTCCACTTCATGTCTTTTTGATGGGTTTCCATTCAGGCAATAGGCCTACCAGAGAGGTAAAGGGATCATTGAATGTACAAATCTTGAGTCTTGAAATGAAAGTCAAGTATCAGGACATAGAATTAAGTCACAGTATCACTTGGAGAATGCTGTGATAAAAGGGAAAACTGGAAGGAGAAGTTTCTAGTTTATGAAAAATACAGTCTTAAAATTATAATTGCCATCATTTCCCACTTAGGTGATTGCCCACAGTCAGTATCAAAATTCCAAAAGAATTTCCATCTTTTTGAGCATGCAAGATGAAATTGAGACGGAAGAGATCATCAAAGACATTTTCAAACAAGGCAAAATCTGCTTCATCCCTCGGTACCGGTTCCAGAGCAATCACATGGACATGGTGAGATTAGCATCACCTGAAGAAATCTCTTTACTTCCCAAAACATCCTGGAATATTCATCAGCCCAGTGAGGGAGATGTTCGGGAGGAGGCCTTAGCCACTGGTAAAGTATCATTTCACACATCAAAACACTTAGCTAGATGCATCCTATTTCATCTGATTTTGGATGCTAAGTGTGGTCCGGCTTGGCAAGTTTGGGCGAATTAATGTCTTTGAATGTTTAAGTAATTTCATCAGATTTTTCCTTCCCATACCCCCACCTCACTCTGTGTGTGTGTGTGTGTGTGTGTGTGTGTGTGTGTGTGTGTGTAAGACAGGGTCACTTATGTAGCCAAGGATGGCTTCCAACTCTCAATCTCCTCCCTCTCCATTGCTGAGCTCATGGGCATACACTATTTCTCTGGCTTCTACCAAATATTTTCATCTATTTTATGTCAGATCTATTGTATGTATAGGAAGATAAGGCCCTGTTCCTGAAAGGACTCAAACCGTAGCTGGGAAAACAGAAATTTTATACTAATCAAGCATCCCAACTTGTACCATACATCAAATGTAAGTATCAAATAAAAGATACTGAATATTGAAAACATTGAGGTTCAAGGCTTGGTCTTGAAAATGTGCATTCGCAACACCGGGTTATTCATTTTCATCCTCTGCTCTTAACTCATGCCATGTTTGTGGCCCCGGTGGCTTTATGATACTTGCAAGCCAGCTTGCCGTGGAATGGAATATGATACTTTAGATTCTCTCAGTTGTGGTGTGAGACAGATATCCCTGCTATGGCTGGTGGAAATGTCTGAGCAGGCAGGCTCGTTTTTTGTTACCTCCTAACTTCACAGCCTCAGTGTGCAGTTTCACTTGCATCAGCAGTTTAGAATGCAGCATCAATCACGCTTCACAGTGTCTGAGACGAGCCGATTGGAGCTCACATTGCCTTTGCCGCAGCCTCTGTGGTCTACTCATCTTCCTGGTTGGCTTAAGTTATCTCAGTTTAGAAGGCAGTAAGCTTGTGTACCCTTGGTTGCAATTACAAGGTCTCAAGCAAAAATCTCACACAAGGCATTCTTGTTTCACATAATAACCCAGCTGGTAAATGAAACAGAGGGGCTGTATCGTGGTGGATTTAAAGTGAGACCTGCCTAGACAGTTTGATCAGTCGGGAGTCCTTCCATCGAGAATTTACAGTCTGACTCAACCTTAATCAATTTGGCTTAAGCAAAAGTGGGACAATACTGGTACAGAAACTGAAGACTGCACAGAACAACTGGTCTTAAGTGTCTCTGGATCAGTGTCCTTAGGAGTCAATCTGTCTTTGTTGTGATTCTGTTTGTATCTGTAACAGCTTTGTGTCTGCTGTGGCTCATGGCAGCTTGGACTTAGACATCCCTTTTCAGCTAGAATTTCCAGCAGAAAAGAGCAAGTCTGGTTTTCTAACAGTCTCCGTAAAATTCTAATCCCAACTCTCATTGCCCCTAGTGATCATCTCCAAATTAACCACTGGCTAGACATGGCATTGACTTGCTGACTCAGGCCTGGATTATACATGACCATTTCTCACTGATTTTCTTTGATCAGGGAAAGGACATATAGCCATCTCTTCAATCCTCCTCAGCCACTGAGCTGAATTGTGGGGCTGAGGTGAGAGTGACTGCTGTTCTAGAACAAAAGAGAATAGATATGATAATGTCAAATGTCAAGCTCATCTATACTATTAACCTTTTCTGAGGTTCCAGAGAACAGACTCTTTCCCATAACTTTTAGTGATAGTTTTACTGTCTGATACTTGTTTTTGAACCGTCTTAAGAATTCATGTCTGCGTAAGAATACCCAAGGCACAACTTAGGTGGCTGCAATGATTTTACAGTGTTCCTCTGTAACATTTTACAATCACTAAAGAGGCCCCATCAAGGGCAAGGTCTTTGAATATGCTTCTCTAGGTTTAGCAGGTCAGTACTTGGGAAGGGAGGATTAGTTGAGAGTAATTCTCTCAGACATTTCCCCAGCCCCTCTTTGTAAAACTTTTACCCCCTGCTTCTAAGCACACCCACCCATCTTTTGTCTCTTGTTTGTGACTCTCTATAGCTATTCCCCTAGAATGAATTTCAAACTCGTTTCCTGATCATATTAATTCCTCTCAGATGCCTTTTTACACACTTCCCCCATCTGTTGGCTCTTTTCCTGTACACTGTAATGATCTCTATCTCTGGCTGACAGTACTTCCTGCTAATCTGCTGTGGCCAAAAGCAGGGACATCGGGTAACTCCAAAGTCCAGGACACTGAGCTAGTCTGTCCCCATGCTCCCTGCTCCTCCCTAGTGCAGTGTGGTTCCTTTCTGTCTCCCACAGTGCTCTGCTGAGGGATAGCATTTCATAATGGTTGTCAGCGAGAGAGTCAGTGCTAATCTCTAGTTTTACTCCTTTCTAACTGTGTGACATCAGTCCCTGAACTCTTTCCAGTTTCAGACATCTCATCCAGATGTGGAGCTCATGAAGCCTACCCATGGGCTGTTGCTGAGCTTCATGAGATAATGTCTGCAAGGTAGTAGGTGCATAGTAGGTGCTTAGTGAAGGTGACCTTGCTACTGTGGCTGCTGTTTTGCTGGGGTCAAGTTGTCATACATGTGGAGCTCTGTGAAAGTGAGGCTTGCAGGATTCCAGGCTAGAATGTGTCATGCATTTCTTCAGGAGCGAACATTACAGGACAGTGCCTGAGGTCACTAGCTCTCAAGTGGCAATCTGGTTTTGGCAAATTACTTACTATCTGAAAGCACTGGAGAGTTGGGAATAATAAAGCTGTTTTGTAAGGGGGTAAAGTAGGATGATTTACAATTAAATGCTACACAGTGTGTTGTCATGAAGAATCAGTAAAGTGCAGCCATCATCATTAAGTGCTGAGTAATTTCCCTGGCTCTCTCAACACCCTGGTCTTTATCTTCTGGGATTCTTAAATCCTTGGCACTCACCATGAATCCCTATGTTTTATTAATTCTTCTTGGGAGTGTATTTCTTTTTGTGCTAATAGACTTAGTCTCTTTAGCAGCCAAGATCTTGATCTTGGTTTAAGATACTGTACCCTTGGTACCTTCTATCAAGTGGTTTATAGGGTATTTAACCATCTTGGCAGGAATGAAGACAGGTCTAGGGAGAGATGCAAATGCAGGCGCCCCTTCCTTCAGCTATCAGGTTACTGAAACAGTGGTCCCCAAGAAGTTGGAGTTTCCTCAGAAATCACATACCAAGAGATGGAAAAAGCTGAAGCCTGGTGCCATCCAGAGAAGGAAGTTGTCTCCTAGATTTCATGCAGTTCTGACAACTTTCCAGACTACCTTGCAGGAGAGACTGGAGCTGGAACAGTGATGGGGCAATGACCCCACCTTGTGTGGAACTGTTTATTTATACACAGTTCTTGCTTGCTATTTAAACATAAACTTTGGGGCTGGTGAGATGGCTCAATAAGTAAAGGTTGCTTGTCACTAAGCCAAGGACTTGAATTTGTTCTTGGAACCCATATGGAAGGAGAGAACTGACTTCTACAGCTTGACTTCTGACTTCCTACATGTTCTGTAGCATGTGTCACCTTCCCTCATAACTAACTGAGTAACTAACTAATAAGTAATTCATGTAAGAAAATAAAGTGTAAATATCATGGCAGGGCCTGAAGAAGGATTGGGCAGGGAGGTGTTCATTGAACCTCTTTGTTTTTCTTCTAGATGTGGCCATATTGGATTAATCTTCTTTTTCTATGTTTTATTCTTGCCTGTTTAATTGACCTGTTGAGGGCAGTGGCTGAGCCTGACTTGTTCTAGTTGCCTGTGTCTATGCTCTGACCCTAACAACTCTAGCAACATGTTGATTCATACTGGAAATTTCTCAAAGTGAATCCAGTATTTATTATAAATTTACAAAGTGCTCATATAAATGAATATATGATTAATCCTTTATAGCCATGAAAGAAAACCTTAATTTTAAAAGTTACAAGCAATGTATGGGAATTGTTTTATAGATGCTGTGATTTTTTTTTTTTTTTTCCTTTAATTTGTATCACGGGTAAATTTTCAACATTATCCTGGGTTGGGCAGAAGCATTCCCAGAAGATGGTCTTGGAATTTATCTTCTCTCAAGGCTGGTTTTGGGAAAGCCATTGAGTTAAGAGAAACATGAAATGCTTTCTGGCCGCTAATGCTGGCATACCTGCAGTGGAGGCTGTGAATTGGCATGCATATCTTGTGCATTTGTCATGTTAAAGATTTGTTGAAAACAATACATTTGTTGTGTTAAAGATTGGTAAGAAACAGAAACGCAGTTTTGTTACTGGAGTGTTTAGGATCAAAAGCCTGATTCTACAAGGCCCAACCAGCCAGGCTTGGCCTCCCATCCCCAATTCCTCCATTAAAGAGACAATGGATAGTGAAAAGCATAAAAGAATTCCTCCTCTGATTGGCACCAGGATTTTAGCCTTCCCTCCTTGCATCATGGTATTACTAGAGAAATTCCAGTTCCCTGGGGCTAATGTTTCAATTGTTCATAGTCATGGGGATGATTACAACTGTCTCTCTTGAGAACATCTTTGCTCCTACCAGATGGTTATAGCTTGTTTGTGTCAAGGTAACTTACTCCACCAGGCTTGTGCCTGTACCCTAGAGGTACACCAAGATAGTTGTTAGGACCCAGATCAGATGACTATCTGATGACACACCTGCCATAGCTCCTCTTTTGTAGGCCAAACAAAAGTTGTTAGACTGAAAGCCTGGGGTGGCCCCTAAGCCCACGGACCAGGCCAGATTGTCACAGCTACAGGATTCTCAGCCAGCTTGTGAAAACTCGGGGACACTGCCACACAGATGACTTTCATCCGCTCAGGGGAACGTTTGGTTTTGGTATAGTTTTTACTAAACAAAGAAGTACATTGCTAAAGGTCCCACATGGTTTGGTATTTCGTTGTGGTTTGTAGCAGCTCTTCTCATACAGGAAGTGTGCTTACAAAACTTTAACCATTTTGTTAATCCTAAGGTTTTGAAAGAGAAAAACCAGTTCCACAATTTTGAGGCTAATTTGAAGCAAGCTTTAATTAAGTACTGACGAGGATGTACTCAGATTAGGACC